GGAAGCACAATCAAGTACATTATTCCAAAAATGTAGCTTTTGTCACTTTAAATGAAAAAGCGCCACTGAGGAAATGAAATGGGATATAACCGCTTGTTGGCAACAATGGCTCTGGCTCTTCCACTGTTCAATTTGTTTAGTGTTTGACAATGAAATTGAGGCTGTGTTACGGGACTCTCCTGTGTACCGTCTTGAGCCGATCGGACAGGTATAGTCAGGGGCCATTGTGCGAGGCGTTTTAGTAAAATTACAGTAAATATTCACTGAGCAGTGCAGGTCTGTTTCTAAGGTAACTGCGGCCTTGGAGTGATTGTAGCGATCATGTGACTCCATACAATTAGGATTTTTTACTTATTTCTAAGTAATGCCTTTTCTTTTTCTTCCTTTTTCCACTAAACATACAGGGTGTTATACCAGTTAGCTTCTGTATGGTCTATTCAGTATGTTAAGACAGAGTTTTGCCATTTCCTTTTGATGTGTAATATGATTGTGAGTCAGAAATCAGAGTACTCATTATATTTTACTTGTTCATTTAGATTAATGCATCCTATAACTCCCCTAGTTGATGTATTGTGCTTATAAGGCACAGCCAAGGCTTCTGCCTTAGTGCACAATCCTGTTCCAGCAAGCCTTTGTATGTTTTGTTATGAGAAGTTCTCTACGTATAATAACAGAGTTGAATAAAATGTAAATTTTCAATATTCCAAGAAAAAACTCCACTTCAAAGAAAGTCAACAGTGTGCTTGATTTTAATGATATATGCCTTGTATGCAAGCTGATTATGATCAAAATTGCATGAATATTACATGATTATTCTGTATAATGACATAAAAGGAGATATTCACTTTTTTCTTTGAAAATGTTGGCAGGGCAAGTCAGTGATGAAGTGGTGTATACTTGGAGTATTGAACATTCAGATTCTGTTTAGTGATTATTGTATGCAGAGAATTTCCCATGGCAAAACATGAAAAAGCTTGCTGGGACTGCAGTGTATTTTATACACACTACTTTAAAAAAGTTTGAGGTCGTTTTTGAAAGGATCAGAAAATACAGTAAAAACAGTAAAATTGTGAAATACTATAATACTGGAATTTTAAATAACTGTTTTCTATTTTAATATATTTTAAAATGTAGTTTATCCCTTTGATGTCAAAGCTCAATTTATAACCAGCCATTACTCTAGTCTTCAGTGTCGCATGATCCTATTTATTACATTTTTATATTTCCAAAAACAAACAAGAATTACTTGGTTTTTATTTGTAATAATAGCCAAGTTTGGCTATAATTTAACTCATTGACAGTTATGAAATCATAACCAACTTTTAGTAAAGGTAAACCATTCACAGACCAAGTTTGAAAAGGATAGCACACAGTGCAAAACCTGTGTTGATATGCAACATTCAGCCCATTATAAGTAATGCTTAATAATTTGCAACACAATGTAAAAAATGTGACAGACCAAATGTTTGCGCGATTGCAAGGCATAAAAGCATTGTTTTCCCCCCATTTTATTACATCACAGCACTGCCATGCAACACAGGTCTTCCGGCCATCCATGGAGTGACATTTTGTGTTTTTTATTCATTTTTGATATCAGGATACTATTAATGAGAGGCAGATGGATGACTAAGATAATTGTCAAAAAATGTAATCCATCTGAACTAGGGATGCACCGATACCACTTTTTCCAGTACTCGCCCGATACCGATACTTTTATTTTTGGTACTTGCCCGATATCGAGTACCGATACCGATATTTTTATTGCATTTGTACATTTTTTAAATATTGGGTACAGAAACCAAAAGGGTATGTATAATGTTAGTTGGTTAACTTCATTTATCAAACAGATGCAGTCAAACCAAAATTTATTCAGACACCTTCAACATTTCTCACATTATCACAGTTTATTCGCTATAGTTCAGAAAATGGTAATAAAATATGACAAGAACCCAGAGTTAAACTGTGTCAGAACAAATTAATCTTGATAATGTTAGATAATTTTGATAGAAGGGTATGTAATAGATTACAATCAACCAAAAATTATTCAGACAGCTGTTAGTATGACAGTATTTACACAACTATGAATACTTTGTCGGGCAACCTTTAGCCTTAATGACAGCCTGTAGTCTCCTGGGCATGCTGTCATCCAGCTTCATGCAAACCTGAACTTTTTTCAGACTCGGTCTGAATAATTTTTAGACCCAAATTTGTATAAATTTTACTGGTAGTCCACTGTATGAAGAATTTTTGGGTATGATTTGTCACAGTTTACTTTATTTTGCTATCCTCACTTACATAAATTAACTATAGTGTCCTGCACCCACTAGTAAAAAAAATATAAAAAATTATATCTGGTCTCTGAATAATTTTTGGTTTGACTGTGTATCCTTCGGTTATTTTCACACTTAATTATGCCCATTAAAATGTATTTTACAAGTTTTTGTTACTTTCACTGTTCAGTTTTTTGCTCTATGGTACATCATCTTTAATAGAATTCTTAATAGAATTAGAGCTGCTCCATTGCAGTGGCTTAGTACTGTAATCACGTGCTTTGCTGTAATAATGCAGGGAACCACTTGCTATAAATCTCCTAGCTGTGATATTTTCAGACATAGAAGTTGCGTTTTTTTATCTGAAACGTGCTGCGATTTATATTCCAAAGCTACTCATATAATGCAGAAACACTCAAGCAAGCAAAGCACGCGCAACGCGTGCACGTATTTGTACTGATGCAGAATGAGAGGGACAAGTACAGTACAGCCTAGCGCATTTCACACAGGCTGTTAGTTTCACTTTCGCCAGAAAGTCGTGTATGCCTAAGGTTGAAAATAGATGATGTTTATAGTGAATGCCCCTATAAATGGTCTTATTTTTATGATTAAGTCTTAATCCAAATGATGCGTGTGCTAAGTGAGTGAACATCAAAGATCACACAACAGAATTGCGCTCTCTCTCTCTCCCTACCGTTAAGTAACTTGTGCATTGTTTTACTTACTTGTTTTTGACATATCCGACCAAACTACAAACTTTCCAGTGATGTCTGTGAGAAAGATATATTCACTCGACAAGCTTGCGCATCTGCGCCACCGCGCGCTCAATCCACTCAGCGTGCTTTGTTTATCAGCTCGCGCACATCAGCTATACAGGCGTTAATACTGAATGTTTACATACTTCGTAGTAGACATCCTTAACTCCATTCTGCTGTCTGTTGTTCTGTTGTCAGTGTTTCTTTGTTTGAATATGGTGCTTAACACATGCTATGTGGTATCGGCATTTGGTATCGGGGCATTTTAACGAGTACGAGTACGAGTACGAGTACAAGTACAGGAGACCAGTATCGGGCCCGATACCGATACCAGTATCGGTATCGGTGCATCCCTAATCTGAACCCACACACACCAACACCAGCAGCTGGGACTGGCATTTGTTGATGTTCTGGTCTGTTTTGCATGATCTCACTGGTAGTAAGTCATTGGTTTGACCTAGAAATTAAAAGCATCTGCATCAGGTCACCAAATCTGATAAATAAATTGAGCATTTTTCAATACTTTTCCTATTTCACCTACGACTGGCATACTGTTCAGGTTTTTCTGATTGAGCGCTCTCTCTTCCATACAGAGCAGATGTGTTCACAGTTGTGCCTGATGTGGTTGTGTAAAAAGGCTGTGTGCTGGTGCTCATAGGTACACATTCACACGTGAGCAGCCATTTTCTGTCTGCTCCTGCTGTGTGCACAATGTTCTCTGGGAAAGCTTTAAATTTGTGTGGTTGATTTTGAAGAGGGAGTGCAATTGTTAAGGAGGAAGCTGAGGGTGAAGTGAGTGACCGGAGGGGACCAGAGCATTATAGTGGGATTTCATTACTCGAAATCCAAGGTTTTAAAAACCCACAAAATCACTTGATATATTTCAAACAAAACGTTTGAGCCAAACATTTGGATGGACTTGTCCCTGTTTTGTTGTTGTTGTTGTTGTTGTTTTATAGCTATTAGGCTTTAGTTACATCACTGCTTGCTAGTTGGTTGCAGGTGGTCTTGGGGCGGGAAGAGAAAGGCTGTGCTTTTATATGCATATATGCTACAGTTATAACATTTGGGGCAATTTTGTTCTCATTGAATCATTAAATTGATCAAAAGTGACAGTAAACACACAAAAAAAAAAAAATCTAAAAAAATTCATCAAAGAATCCTGAAAAATCCTGTGTCGTGGTTTCCACTTTTAAACATTGATGATGATAATAAGAAATGTTTCTTGGGTACCAAATCAGCATATTAGAATGATATCTGAAGGATCATGTGACACTGTAAAGCTGCTGAAAATTCAGCTTTGCTACCACAGGAATAAATTACAGGAAATTTATTTAATTGGGAAAATTTCACAATATTACTATTTTTACTTCATTTTCAATCAAATAAAGCCATCCTTTTTTAAAAAAGTTTTTGAGACTTTAAAAAAAATTAAAATTAAAAATCTTACCAACTTTTGAATGGTAGTGCATGTGTATATTTGCTAAAAGTGAAATTTGTAAACGTTTATTAATACATTAGCGTACAATAGTGGGTCTCGCACATTAACTAAAAGCCACAAAACTAAAATTTAGTTTCATGGGGTTTTCAAAGTCTTTTCTGAAGCTGATGTACACAAATCAAAGCATGACGGCGACAAGCTGAGAATCGTGTTTGGAATCACAAACCTCGAGAGATGAGGAGAAAAAAGTAGGTCAAAGATGAGAGAAAAACTGAAAGAAACAAGAGACGGTTAATTAAATATTATGTTAACAATTATTACATCACGACAAACAATTGAAAATGTTGATAAAGCACTTTGATTAGTATTATTACATCTGAAAAGTGCCAAACCATGATTTTTTATGTCATTTTATCCGACAGTCTGTCACTGTAAAGTATTTGTTTCAACTGATTGCTCCAGTACTCTGAAAAATGACAAAAACCTTGCACAGTTCATTTTGAATAACTGTCGGTTGTATTGTTTTGTTCACAGAAGTAATGCCAGTACCAGACCATCTCTCTGACACAGAGAACTCCAGCATGTTGAGCCCGGTACTGAACGCCTCAAACGGAGATGGATCCGAGACGGAGACCACCTCTGCCATCTTGGCCTCTGTTAAAGAACAGGTGGGTACTTCCTGTCAAACTACTGTAAAGTTCTTCATTCTTACAGACTGTCTCTAATAGAAGGTTATGATTCCCCCCACACTCACACGGAAACATTCATTTTCCAACAGTTTAATTAGAATATCTCTAAATCTTTATATGCTGTAAACAGTAATTACACAGAACCATACCAGTCCTCAGATGAACTGCATATGCCATCTGGGTTAAGGAGCCGCAAGGTTTGGTGGGTTTCTGCCTGAGTCATTTCCATCATCTCGTGCTGCCGGTTTCATTTAGCGCCTGGTGTCTAAATTCACAGATACAAATGGTTTTTGATGGTCAACACACTGCAAATGCGCCTTTACGCCTCAGTGTCACATGGTTTTGCGGACGAGTGGGAGAAATGGATGTAGGTTTTGGGGCTGCGTGGTGTAAGAAATGTGAAATATTTGACACTCCATGTTGCAATCAGGTCTCCATGCTATGCTAGTCACTGTGGCGCATCCTATCTATAATAAGATTGGTCACCTGCTTGCCAGCAGGTGGACAGCTTCCCAGACGTTGGCGCAACCTTTTGATAAACTGGCTTGATCTGTTAGGAATAATGACAGGTGATTGTAATTGCTTATGACTTCCTGTCATAAAAAGTAATTTACGAAATGCATTATAGATTATTGCGTATGTCAGAATTTAGTGTGTGATAATGTACAGTATTTCTTACTTTTACTTTGCCCTTATATACATGTCTGTCTTGGCTGGAGTCCATTTTTGAGTCAAGAGCATGAGTAGATAAAAATGGATCGTGACAAGCCCTTCGCTTCCTGCTAGCGTTTAGCTCACACTCCTGCTTTTAAACATGGGACAGAAAAAAAGCGACATACTCTTAGGGTTGGAAATCTACACGGTGAATGTTAAAGTAGGCCACAGCCATAGGCTGCTGTGGGCCAGTCTAATAGCTCTCCTATCAGAGCGAGAAAAACTGTCTGCCAGCTTTTTTTGATGCTTTTCACTGGAGGGTGGACAGAGTCCATGTCACGTACAGTGTTTCTCTCTGAGAGGAGTTCAAAAAACATGTAAAATGGTGTAATTTTCTTTCCTGAGTTGGTGTACTTCCTGTTGAAACAGGATGATTGGGTGGGACATATCGAAGAGCTTTAGTTACACTATCGTTCACAAGTTTGGGTTTGGATTTTGAATGTCTCCTGTCTCACCAGGGCTACATTTATGATCAATACAGTAAAAACTGTAATATTTAGATTTTTTATTTTCAGTTTATTTTATAATTTGTTTAATTTTAGCAGTCATATAACTCCAGTCTGCAGTGTTACATGATCCTTTAGAGGTCATTCTAATATGTTAATTTGGTGCTAATTTATAGTGCACATTTTTATTATTATCATTGTTGAACAGTTGTGCTGCTTAATATTATTATGGAAACTGCATACATTGAATTTCATGATTTTTTGTTAAACTTTAAAAGAACATACTTTAAAAAAAAAATAGAAATCTTTTGTAACATTATTAATGTATTTTCTTTCTTTAATGTCTTCACATTTGATACATTTAATGCTTGCTGAATTAAAGTATTTATTTATTTATTTTCAAAAAAGGTCATCTTACTGACACCAAAGTTTCGAAATGTAGTGTATGTCACAGCCATGAACGATGATTTGCTACTTACTATTAAGGGATGCTATTTTAGCCCCTGCTGGTAAATGCTGTAACTACACCATTTGGCTCTAAAAAGCCTCATTCTCCATCGATGGACATTCAAAATTAGTTGCGTATAGTGACTAAATACTGTACATTTATTTTACATATATTTAGACAATGAGTTCAATGGAATTGCTAATAACTAGCTTTCTCAAAATATTATTGATCTTGCTTGCTACTGCTAGTCAGGTTGTGTTAGCAGGCAGGGCATTCTCACTATAGAGTGCATTTTAGTGGACAAAAATGTGCAGTATAAGATGAGTCATCGTTATTTTTGGTCCAATTCCTGAAAAAGAAACATTGTATATTTTAAATGTATTTTGCCAACCTTTAGGAACAGGAAAAATAAGACCTCAGAACTAACTGAAATCATTAACTGAAACTCATATTGTAATGATTTACTGGGGTCTGTAAGCATAAACCACATCTCACTGTGTTTCAGTATGACCCTGTGTTTTTTTTTTCAGGAATTTCCTTAGTCTTAATCTTTCTCCCTAGCTTTTTTTTTATTACAGTCATATTTAAGTATCTCTGATTAAAAGACTGTAATCAAGCGAAGCAGGCCTGCTGTCCTTTTCAAAATACACCGAAAATAAAGGTTTATCATTTTGCCACTGCTTGTCTACTCGCACATATTATGAAAAATCACCATCGTTTTTTTGTTCTCCTCCACTAGATGGCAATCTCCCATTTTGGAGGCATTTAGTAGTCAGAGGTCATTAAATTCCTCTGCAAAATTCAAAATTCACAGAATAAACTGAACTTCAGATCTAAAATCTGTGTAGATTTTGATGACTAAGGATGCTCTGCAGCACTGAAAAACCATCTCCCCTCTGCCATGTATAAATACAATGTACCAAAATGTCTGGCAAAATGTCCTGGTCTCTTGTATGTGTGCTTTGTGTGCAGTTTTCAAGGTTGCACGTGCAAGCAGAACACAGTCTGTCCTGTGTACGACTCTCTCCCATTAAAATTCTCCTGTATCACTTGTGCTAAACAGAATCACATGCGATGATCGCATGTGTAACAACCTGGACATACACAGTTCCTGTATTCGCAGTAAAATGACGCTTTTTCTATATAATGAACCCTCTTTTATTATTTGCCTTTGAGTGTCACTTTCTTAAATTATGTTGACATAGTGATTGTAGTAGTCTTATTAATGTATAAAGTACAGGTGTTCTTTTCAGAATTTTCAGAAGATCTGTTGTTAAAGCTCACCTTTTTTGTCCCTTTCATTTGGTGTTAAGGAAATTTATCTTAGTGTTTTTAAAATGACACATTAATTGTTCATAAAAAAGCCTCTGGCATATAAAGTTTTATTATGAGCATGGCAAGGATTCTTTGGGGAAAGGGCCAGTGTTTGTAAGGGGTAGTACAGCTAAGGCCAAATATTTCTTTCCTTTTAATTCACACTCTGCATTTTAAGGCTTTTTTATTTTAGGGAAGGCTTGTTAATCAGCTCATTATATCTTTGTCCGATAGGAGTGATTTGCTTTAGCCAGAAGTGAAGTCATTTAGATTTTTCTTAATCATGTAATAGGTGTCACATATTCAATCAAATGAAGCAGTTCATTTAATTACTTACACTATCGTATCCACAAAAGTTGAGGCTGTTTTGACCAGATTATCAACAAAAAGGCTGTTCAAGTTGAAATTGATCCTGAGGTCCTTTGGATGGCCTCATTTCTGCTGTAATTTTCAACCAGGAATATGTGTACTCTTCCCTTTACATTTTACAGAGCAAATGAGTTCATCTGATTCTGAGTCATTCCTGTCTGTTTAACACTGTTTTGTATGGTTTTCAGTCTGTGTGGTCAGGCTGTGGAGTGGCTCTGGACTCATTTAACTCTGTGAAATTATAGAAATTGGGTTAAATCCTTAAAGGAACTCTTGAGGCGAACCCCAAGTGACATTTTGCAATCAAATGGACCAATGAAGAAACTTAAATGTCAGTCTTTGTCCACAGGGCACAATTAGGCATTTAGGCCAGAAGACCACATTCAGCTTTTGAAGCAGTCAAATCAATTTCTCAGTCCCCAGGTTATTTATTTTCTAAACAAATAGGTTTAACGGCCTTTTCAGGAGTTATTATGTAAGATAATGGGAATACATTCCTGTTTGGCACTCTTGTCGCAATCCTGGCCATATAAAACACTTTTTTTTTGTGTGAGTTTTTATCACATTATATAGACTAAAAAAATCTCTCAGAAACTCAGACTAAGAAAAAAAAATAGGAAATTGCACAATTAATTGCAAAAAAAAGGCAAGTAACACATTGAATTAGAAGTAGAAAGAGTGAAAGTAAAAAGTGAAGTAAGTATAGGGCTGTCAAATCGATTAATCGCAACCAAATTAAAAGTTGGTTTACATAATATTTGTGTGTGCTAAATGTTTCTTAAATATGTACGTGTATGTTTGTGTATTTATATATACACATAAATATACACAGTATTTTGTACACAAACTTTAATTTTGGGTGAGATTAATCGTGATTAATCGATTTGACAACCATACTTGTAAGACAATCTAAAATAATCTGAAATGTTTTATCTTTGAAAAATCATTTTTACAGTGTAGTGTAGGGGCAGAAAAAACAATGCTTTGAATGTTAAAGAATCACCATTTTTGGTCCAGGTGACATGTCTGCTGTCCTAGCCGAGTGCTTTTTGTCTGTGTGGACTGCTATATTTAACCAACTTTTGTGACAAGTGGAGGCTACTCCCCGCTCAGGGAACCTGTCCATTGCAGGCTACTGAGGCAGAACAGACTGTTAGGATCCCTAGAGGAAGCACAAAGCTTAGCATCGCACAGTGCTTTTTTCCACAGCTGCTGCCTGGACCGGCAAAAAACACCTCTTTCTCTCTGCCGCTCTGCGATCCTTTCAACGAGACACCCCCCCTTCTCCTCTTCAGAGTGGAGCACAGATGGCGTCAGAAAGAGGGGAAGAGTTTAGGAGGAGGCGGAAGAGTGACTGGAGGGCGGTGGTATTTGGCTGGCTGGCTGGTGGGAGGAACCCTTTATGATGCAATGTTGCATAAATAATGCCAAAGGGGCTCTAAATTCACTGTTGCCATGACGACCTTTGTGCCTGACTGCACTCCACTTTTTGCTTTCCCGCTGGAAGGCAGTCACTACCACTCTTGTACTTTCTCTAATGACTCTGCTCTCTTGATAAGCGGAGATGAACGCAGTCTAGTGGGATAGTGATGCACAGACACAGATTTTTCTCAGCACAGACGGCCTCTGGAGTATGGTACATGTGCCGGTAAGAGCGCTGTTATTTTATTTGTGAAGGCAACAGGTGTTTTATTGCGGAACTGGAAGCTGGAGTAGTTTTGTTGTTGTTGACGGTTAGATTGTTAGAGTCTAATCAGTTGTTGTTCTCTGTTTGCGGCTCCATCTTGAACTTGTTGATGTGAAATAAGAAAGGCCAGAGATGATGCTTGTTTGTATCGTAATTGCCGATGCCTTTTCAGTCGCAGAGCTAAGCAACATGCCTGTTTGTTGCAATTGCACCGGAATGCGTCTGCCGTAAATTCATTAATTGAGACCCTAGACGTGTATAATGATTATTGAAAAGTGTTTGAATGCTGCAGTTAGCGCCTCTTTAGTCATCATGGTCCATAGAGATCTCTTCAACACTCTGAATGGGTATTTTTGTAGCCTTCATCTGGGTTTGTGCCCAAAATAGCAGGTGATGTATTCTGGAGCCCTCTTAGCATTAACCGCTCTGGGAAGAGAGACTTTGACCTTGTGGCTGAGTGAACTCATTTCAGCCTTGTCACAAAAGAAGTGGGGACATCACATTGACTGTCGTAGCCCCGGGCGCAGGCACATAGTGCAGTGTTTCTGACTGGATTTTCACAGTGATTACTTTAAAGAGGAGCTCTGGGATTTTATCTCTGATTTAGCATCGACAAGTTTGTCATTAAATGTTAAGCGGCGCATATCTAATTAAGAGAGGGGTGTGTAGTGCTGGAATGGTCCAGTGACTATCAAAGTTCAGAATAATGCCTTTGGATGTCTTGAGAAAATGTGGAGAAAAGTTAAAAAGAATGTACTCTTTCATTTTTTAATTATTGTACTTTGCAGCTGATTCATTATGGCCAGTGCCCAAAATTAAGTATATCACCACTGTTTAAAAGTTTGGGGTCAGTAAGATACTAAAACTTTTATTCAGCGAGTACACTCTTAAAAATAAAGGTGCTTCAGAAGGTTCTTCACAGCGATGCCATAGAAGAACCATTTTTGGTTCCACAAAGAACCATTCAGTCAAAGGTTCTTTAAAGAACCATCTCTTTCTTACCTTTTTGTAACCTGAAGAACCTTTTTTCACCACAAAGAACCTTTTGTGAAACAGAAAGGTTCTTCAGATGTTAAAGGTTCTTTATGGAACCATTTAGACAAAAAGGTTCTTCTATGGCATCGTGAAGCACCTTTATTTTTAAGAGTGTAAGGATTAAATTGAAATAGGTGCCAATAAAGACATTTATAATGTTTCAAAATATTTCTATTTCAAAAAATGATTTAGATTTATTTTATTCATCAAAGAATCCTAAAAAAATGTATCATGTTTTCCACAAAAAACCTTCCGCAGCACAGCTGTTTTCAACATTGATAAATAATATTAAGAAATGTTTCTTGAGCACCAAATCAGCATGTTAGAATGATTTCTGAAAGATCATGTGACACTGAAGACAGGAGTAATGATGCTGAGAATTCAGCTCTGCCATCACAGGAATACATTGCATTTTAAAATATACTAAAATAGAAAAATCTGAATAATTAAATTGTAATAATATTTCACAGTATTACTGTATTTTTGGTCAAATAATAAAGCCTTGGTGAGTGGAAAAGGATTTCTTTTAAAAATCATAGGAATCCCAACTTTTTGAACAGTAGTGTATATTATTATTATTATTATTATTATTATTGTTTTGTCAAAAATTATGCAAAGTACAGCTTTATGGTCAAATATAATAACAAATGATTAAATAACTATTACCTGTTTTCTCTTTGTAGCATCATAAAAAAGCTTTCTGTAAAACTGTACCTCTCACAAACGATGACACATCAAGATTTTGTTTATAATATATTTATTTTGGTGCTTTACTACAAGTAGCCTTCCACATATATTTTGCCATATACATTTCTGGAGAAGAAAAATGAAAGATAAATGTCTTAAAACACACAAGTTGTGACAGATGTTTGCTTTAATAGATGGTTTGTGCGCAAGCAAGGATCTGACAGTCATTCTTACAGTTTGACCATCACCATGTTTAAAATTGCAGTTCCTAATAAAGTTATTGACCGGAGACTAGATTTATATGTCAGCATTTTTAAAGAAAGAAAATCCAAGTGCATTTTATCAATATGTAAAGAAAAGCCCTGAGTGGCTGCAGAGCCTCACAGTGTCTCTGCATCCCATACACACACACACACACACACACACACACACACACACACACACATGCTCTGTGTAGTAGTTACTGGAGCATGTGTAAGTGCATGTGCGGTACATGTTATAGACAGAATCAATTCCATAATTCCTTTAGGGCTTTACACATACGCTCTGTCTGCTTTATGTTTGCAGGAGCTGCAATTTGAGCGACTGACGAGAGAGTTGGAGGCTGAGAGGCAGATTGTTGCCACTCAGCTGGAGAGATGCAAGCTGGGATCTGAGACCGGAAGCATGAGCAGTATCAGGTGGGTCTGGTGGAGTGACACCTCTCACTCACTCAATCTGTCTCACCCCACCATCACCACATACACCAGTTAAAGCTAAAGATAGATATCTTTCCATCTCTCCTTGATCTTTACCATCCAACTTGTCATTAAACCATCAAATGTCATTAAAAGCAAGTTTTTTTATTCTTGTCCGTGAAATCTTTTGATGTCCTTTTCCGGCATATTTCATCAGGAATATTTTAGTGTAACCACATTCACAGGAGACTCGGATCTAAACTTCCCCTCTCAAACTAAATTCTTTCACTACTGCTAAGTAAACAAAGGGTTAGTTGTCACAAGCTTTGAATTCAGCCTGTAATTAAAATCTCATCATGTTTAAGTAGTAAACGAGTACAGATACTATAATAAAACAGACTTTATGGATTATATATGCAATCAGTTTGACCTCTCAGAGGCTGATAAGTGCTTCTAATCACTGTTTACCCTGAATGTTCAAATTGAATTGAATGGCCCCATTGTATTGTCCTCTTGTTGTTGCTGTGAAGCATATTTTTATTGTTTATTCATCTAGCCTGAAAACTCAATAAATCAAATGTCCTTCAGCTGTTCAGTCAGTAAGACTCCCACGTTGCTTGCTTTGTCAGTGAGAATCTGTTGTACAGGATGATGTCAGGTTTAAAGTTATGTATTTTATCATTGGTTTTAGTATCACTACCATCAGTGTGAGCGGGGGCACTGTAGACCTCAACCAGGGGGACACCTAGACCCCCTCATCTTGTTTTCACACATGCATGCGACGTTGAGAGATTATTATAAAACAAAAAATGTCTATATTTAATGTCTACTCTACATACTCATATTTCCCTAGCTATTTTGTATTTCCTGGTCTATCACAAGTCATTTTTGCAAGTTCCCCCAAACCCTGTTTTCGTTCATGTAGCAGTTCAGTGGCCTCTCTCCCAAGATGAGAGCTGCCAACGGACACAGTTAGACACATAGAATTTTTAATTAGAGTAAAGTGGAGCGGAGACAACACAGTCAGTGATAATTTGAATGTCAGGCCATCAAGGGCTTTTGCACTTAAAGGGATCCCTATTATGCTCTTTTACAAAGTCTTGATTTTGTTTTGGGGGTGTACTAGAACAGGCTCTCATACTAGGTTGTTCGAAAAACACATTATTTTCACATATTTTACATTATTACAACACTTCTCTCCCCAGTCTGGCATGAACGGCTCGAAAAGTTCCTGTATCAAATGAAGCCTTCTGAAATACGAAATGTGCTGTGATTGGTTAGCTGGGCCCGTGTGTGTTGTGATTGGCACCACTCGGCGCCTGGTTGGGAAATGTCATGCCCCTTACCATAGGGTTTTATACAAACCCGGATGATTGTAACCGCTCTAAGTTTGTCTGCATTGGGAAAGCTAGCGTGTCTCCAACATTGTGATAACACTCGTTGCCTTCTCTAGTGCAGCTCAACCAGGTCTCTTCCCATTCGTCGGTATTTGTGATATCACAAATCTCGGAAAATATGCGTTGTAGTCCAAACTAGTCATTTGTTGTAGTTTTTGAAAAGTGATTTTTGTTAAATAAAATCTCCTTTTGAATTGGACTTTGAGCTTTGTATCTTTGCAGATCTTTTTTATGCTCAAACAGCAACATTACAGACTAACTAAAGTTGAAGAAGTGAAAAATTATAAAAAAAAAACAAAAAAAAAACAATAAAAAATATAAATATAAAAATAATAGTGCTGTCAAACGATTAATCACGATTAATCGCATCCAAAATAAAAGTTTTTGTTTACATAATATATGTATGTGTTCTGTGTATATTTATTATGTATAATACACACACATGCATGTATATATTTCAGAAAAATAGGTTATGTTTATATATTAAATATATTTATTTATAATATAAATTATATGAATATAAATATAGACATGTAAATACATATAAATATTTTCAAAATATATACTGTATGTGTGTATTTATATACTGTATACATAATAAATATACACAGAACACACACATGATATGCAAACAAAAACTTTTATTTTGTATGCGATTAATCGTTTGACAGCACTAAAAAATAATATAAACATAGAAATTATATATCTATATATATATATATATACTGTATATACTGTGTGTATATATATATATATAGTATACTGTATGTACAATGTACAATATATAGTTTAATATATAGTACTATATTAAAGAATATGTAATAGAATCTTTATTTATTTTTGGCATTTTATTGTCTTTGTTGCAATAGGATAGTATGTAGACAGGAAAGTGGGAGGGAGAGAGAGGGGTCGGGATCAGGAAAGGTCCACGAGCCGGGACACAAACTCGGAACGTCCCAAGCACAACAGTGATATATGTCAGTGCACTGCCCATGAGGCTATCAGCGCTGTCAATATATTCTTTTTAATTCAATTTCTTTAAAGACTGACTGCAAACTTTTGAACAGTACTGTAGTGCTTTTTGGATTGTTATTGGTTAAAGCGTTAGTTCACCCAAAATTTTAAGTTCTGTCATTAATTACTCACCCTCATGTTGTTCCAAACCCGTAAGACCTTCGTTCATCTTCGGAACACAAATTAAGATATTTTTGATGAAATCCGAGAGCTTTCTGACCCTTCGTAGACAGCAATGCAACTACCACATTCAACGCCCAGAAAGGTAGCAAGGACATCGTTAAAATAGTCCATGTGAGATCTGTGGTTCAACCTTAATTTTATGAAGCTAAGAGAATACTTTTTGTGTGCAAAGAAACAAAAATAACGACTTTATTCAACCATTCTTCTCTTCTGTGTCAGGTCACAAGAGTACCACGACGCATGCATGTGGTGCTGCTGATGCAGGAACTAGTGTTCTGACGTAGAACCCGGATGCATTGTGGCTTGTTTGCAAAGAGAAGAATGCACACGCATGCGTCGTAGTACTGTCATGAACGTGCATTGGATTCTGACATGGAAGAGAAGAAATTGTTGAATAAAGTCATTATTTTTGTTTTCTCTGTGCACAAAAAATGGACTATTTTAACGATGTCCTTACTACCTTTCTGGGCCTTGAACGTATCAGTTGCATTTGGTCTATGCACGGTCAGAAAGCTCTCGGATTTCATCAAAAATATCTTAATTTGTATTTCGAAGATGAACAAAGGTCTTACAGGTTTGGAAAGACATGAGGGTGAATAATTAATGACAGAATTAAATTTTTGGGTGTACTATCCCTTCAAAGTAAGACGTTTTTAATGAGGTCACTGACCACAGTGCTGATTGAACCTGTTTTTCATTTTTACTCATGCTCGATCTTTGAATGTTCTTGCATTTATTGCCGGCTGTTGTTGTGTGTAGTCAGGTAAGGCCAGATCTCTCCTCAAGACAAAAACAGCTTACAGACAAACAAGCTGCTCAAGGCCATAATAGAAGCTGCAAGTCAAATAACACGGTGCTCAAGTATCTAATCAGGCGTTGCATGGATCTTGATTGGTCTCACAATTCAGGGTTATTTTACTTTGTGCACTTTCTATCCCTTCGATTTTTTTCTACTGTTGACTGCAACAGCCATATACTATCCGTGATGGTGTTACTAGCTGGTGTTTGATTCAATTGCAGAACAATACTGATGCAAGCACTTCACTGACTATTATTTGTTCCTTTTTTTATAAGACAGCAAGCTGAAAGTCACAGCATCAGGAGAAGCACCGTGGTCTAAGAGAGCACTTCTAGCCTGTGACCCACTTGTTTAATGAAACATGGGTCTTTTCAAACAGCACTCCATTTTGAACAAACATAATACTGGCCTAGTTCTTCAGCTAACTGTCTGATACTCAGCAAAAACAAATCTCTGATTAGCCGATGTGCAAAATGCCTTTACAGTCACAATGGAAATGCCAAGTGAATTTGTCTCATTGTCTCTAGCAGGACGTTCATCTGACCGAACCTCGGCACAGCGTCAAACATCTGCTGCTCTGAGTGAGGCCTTTGACTCAATATTAGACGTTCACTGTTGAGCCCTATCCTGTAGCATGGAGTTGTCTCACTAAACACTGTCTGTCGAGCACAGCGAGGGAGTATTAAGCCAAAGCTGTTTGACTGTTTTCCTGCCAGATTAGTCCACCAGTCTCCTGTGAGCTCGGACTGCGCTGGCACTGTGTACGCGTCTACAATGTGTGCCTCGAGGAGAGATAATGCTTTGTTGGCATGTGGTGTAAATAAGTTGTATTGAGGAGACAATGTGTTTGACAGCTCTAATGCTCTAATCTCACTGTAGTATAACGGCAAGCGAGAAAATACTAAATGGGCAATGGGAAAATACTATTATTAATATTCTGTTTGTAATGTATGTACATTATTTCAGCATTTGCTATACACACCAACAAGTTTTTTGTCTGTTTCTGCAGCTCAGTTGGTAGAGTTATGATGCCAGCTACAAAGCGTGTACCTTGATTGCAATGTAATCTGCTTTGAATAAAAGCATTTTCCTAACTGTAAAAAGAAAATGCATGAATGTACATCTAGTATCAAATACCCACTTTCTTTGAAATTGCACATGAAAAGGAAAGAAAACATTGAAAGGCTTGTCCATTGAGACTGTATGGAAATGCATTATATTTCTCTTTACCTTTGAAGAAGATACATTTATAGAAAGAAAGATGGTGGGCCAAATTCACGGAACAGTTTTGTGTTCTGTATTTCACTGTAAAAATCTGCTTCATATTCGCTAACCACCAGCAATCTACTTTAACTAGGCTTTAAGTGAGCTGAAATAGCAGCGTGCCGTGAGTATGTAAATTAAGTCAAACATACAGTGTAGAAAAGTGCACTTTAAGCATTATGGCAAAGGCCAATTCAGGTGCCTGGAGCACGGTCTGGGTAAAGTATGTCAGAGTGTGGTAGTATTCTGGAATCTTTTCACCTATAGGCTACCCAACCAGCATCAAGAAAAGAAATTGTGCATTATGAAGTGCAACATATTTGGGTCTGTTTGTACTGTTATATGAT